ACGAGGTACACTTGACGCAATTTTGATGAATGCTGCTCGAGATCTTAGGGAGCAACAGATCGAGTTGATCTAGCCTTCCGCCGAACGTATCAACTGTAATGAAGAATTTCGTTTGAGATTGGAAAATGATTTGAAAACAGTAAGCACAAAATTGATTTCAAAATGTTTCAGGACTTAACTAATACTGATAATTAACAGCAAACTTCAAATATTAGGTTGTTCAAATCTCTCCCTTCCGCTTTTTTGCTCTTGGTTTATGTACAACAAGGCGGAAGAGAGATATTTGACAACCTTATATGAAGAGGATGTTAAAAAATAATTGTGTGTTTAGTGTTTAGACGTTAGCAAGTACAGAAACTTTAATAGAGTGCTTAAAAGATAGTTTGAGAAGAAATGATAACGCAATGAAAGTTGCTCAAACTCGATTGGATAATAGGTTGCAAAGACCGCGTGTTGAAAATTGTCGAGATGGACCATGTTTTGGGTAAAATTAATATTTACAAACATTTGAAAAAAATCTAATCATCATCATCAATTGCAAGCAATTGTTAAGAGTACTATAAAATTCTGTATTTTTGATTTACAGCCTTATAGATGAAGTGAAATCGCTAGCAGATGGGTGTAACAGCACTTAAAGTTCAATTGGCGGAAGCAGAGAAATGCAAAGCGGAAGCACTTTTGGCCAGAAAGTAACTATGAGCGGGAAATAATGATAAAAGAAAACTTTACAAATTGATCGGGACAGGTGCCAATGGATGAGATCTCATTATCCGTCCGCAGCAGCTTTGAGCGGACATTAAAATCAAATTGATGTACCAAAGATTAGTTGACACAAAATAGCTGATTATGTTGAATACCAAATTTGTAGTAAGCTTCAATTTTGTACTTTTAATAAAAATTGAATAATAACTATTATTTTATTTACATATTATCTTCATATAATAATAATTTTAAGGGCGGGGGCTTTAGAGGCTTTAAAAAATCGATTTTTTTTGTTACACAAAATGTCTTCTAAACCTAGAAAAGAATATATGTCCCTAAATTTCAGAACAAATTATATTTTTTTGGAGTTGACAGAAGAAACAGTCAGCGTCAAGCATATATACGAGCGGAACAAAAACTTCTAGCTGCGGTTTCTGGGTTTTTTAATTTTACATTCTTTCAAATTGGCGGGAAAGATAGAAGAAGAACTAAACTTCCTATCGAAGTCGAGACCGAGATCGAAGCGAGATAAATTCATTGTATTCAGGATAAAATTATATTCTAGTTGAATCTAAAAAAAAACTAAAAAAAACTGAATCTAAAGAAGTTATAATTAACCCACTTTTTAGACAATCTAAAGTGAATTTTTGTATCAAAAGCATGATTTTTTTTCAAGTTGCGAAAAATTGGTAAATTCTTCCTTCATTTTTTTCTGTATTTATTAGGTTCAACTAGAATCTACACTATTGAAAATATATTTTGTTTTGATTTTTTTATTTCTGATGGAAATTGTGACCTAGGTCGCAGCTGCATCTTTCCCGCCAAATGACACGCACGTGGCGCATGGCAAAATGCTTGTAACCGACATATTATGATATATATTTTGATAAAAAAAAATTGAGAAGAATGTTAAAATATATACAATAAACTTAAAAGATTCGTTTCAATTAAATATTTATTTCCTTCCCTAAAAATTCCTCAAAAAGCGAGTTTTTGAAGCCTGTAAAGCATGCCTTAATAAAGATAATCTATAGATTTTATAAAATTGAAGCTGTTTATGTTTTTTTTATATTTTTAAATTTTACAAAGAAGAATATAATTTCGTCAGAATTATTTTCAATTAATGTTAATCTTCAAGATGCTTGTAAATCTAGATTAAAAACTACTCACGTTTATTATATAGTCAAAGTATCAATGACAAAGCCATACAAAGCATTATCAAGAAGGAGTAAAATCAAAGCAATATATCTACAATAGCCTCAAAATAGTTATTCAAACAATCTAAAAATAGTATTTCATGTAAATGAAATACATCATAATAATATGATAATAGAAACAATAGGCCGAATTCTGCATAACAAAGAAATATCTTAAAACTGGGTTTCAATAAAAAATGAAAATAAAGATATGGAAAATAATGAACGATGACAGTATAAATAATGTTACTAGTGTCTTACCTAAAAATTAATCGTATAAGTTGTTTAACTTAAATTTAATCACATTATTATCATATTACTATTAAAATCGTCTGTTTATTTTGCCGCGTTTTTTGTGTGGAGCATCTGCTTAAAATGTACCATAATCCTTTCTCTGGCAACACTAAATATTTAGGAAATGCTGGTCGAATGACACGATCGTCATTCTAAAATCGCTCCCAGTGGCATTAATACGTAAGTAAAAATTCCGATCTTAAATCTTCTTACCAGAAATTAATCATGCGTTTATTCAAGTTATATTTTGTTTGAACGTGTTGACATTTTTGATCTGTGCTTATCGGCATGTGTATTTTTTAAATATGAAGTTTAATTTGATTGTAGTATTGAGGTTATCTTGGTGTTTTGCCATGTGTTTCTTAAAGACTACTTTCTTTAGGTTGCACCGTAGCTCTAAAGTGACGTTACAATGTCGGGAGGCTTGGATGTTCTTGCCCTACGGGAAGATGATGTTACCAAAATGTTAGCCGCATGCACCCATCTTGGCAGCGAAAATGTGAACTTCCAGGTACAATACATCACAATACAATATTCTAATTAAGTTAAATTCATTAAAAACTAATTTATAAAGCCTTCGATTCATGTAGATGGAGCAATATGTGTACAAACGCCGTGCTGATGGAGTACATGTAATCAACTTACGTCGCACATGGGAGAAGCTTTTGTTGGCTGCTCGTGCTATTGTTGCTATTGAGCATCCAGCTGATGTCTTCGTTATTTCCTCCAGACCTCAAGGACAACGTGCAGTATTGAAGTTCGCCAACTATACTGGTGCTACTCCACTCAATTGCTGGACGTTTCACTCCTGGTGCCTTCACTAATCAGGTAAAAAATTTTTAATAATTTTTGTATTCGATAATTGAACATTCTGATTTAAAATCTGCTTATTGAATTATATGTATATTTAATGTTTTAGATTCAAGCTGCATTCCGTGAACCACGTTTGCTGATTGTTACTGATCCTCACTCCGATCACCAACCCATCACTGAGGCTTCATATGTGAACATTCCTGTTATTGCATTCACCAACACTGATTCTCCATTGAAATTTGTTGATATTGCAATTCCATGCAACACCAAGGTGAGAATTTTATTCCTAAATGTTTGTTTTTAGTTCCCAATGATGATAAATTGGATCCAATTTATTAAAGATAATATGATTACAAATATTTACACTGAAAATATTGAATGTCAATAAAAAATATAAATAAGTTATTGCTCATCACTAATAAAAATATTTTTTTTTAGTCCAACCATTCCGTTGGTTTGATGTGGTGGTTGTTGTCCAGAGAAGTCTTGAGACTTCGTGGATCCATTCCCCGTGAGAAGACTTGGGATGTTAGTTGATTTGTTTCTTTCTACTACCGTGATCCAGAGGATAGAGAAGGAGGATCTGGTTCACAAGGAAGTTGTGGCCAAAGTTGAGGTAGATTATAGAATTAATGTTTTACATATTACTTTAAATTATGAGATTTTTTGCCCACAATTATTACTAAAATGATGACATCTACTAAGGAACCTATGATTGTTCAGAGATTATAACTTAACTCGTCTGATTCTCACAACTACTAAACATTTTAATTCATATCATACTTGAAATTATATTTACCATGCATTTTTTAACAGACTGCTGTTGCTCATGATACTGCTGAAGTATGGGCGGGAGATGAGCCAGCCACTCAATTATGGACTGATGATGCACCTGTTGCTGCAGTTCCGGCTGTTTACCCAGCTGCTGCCAGCCAAGATTGGGCCGAGCAAGTGCAAGAAGAATGGGCTGCCAACCCTACCCCAGCTGCTGGTCAAACTACTTGGGGAAGCTCCACACAAGAATGGTCATAAATCAAATGATACTTTTTGTATTGGATAAATGAAATAAATAAAAATTAAAATAATCAGTTTTTAATATATGAAACTGAATGACTCATTTTCAGGAAATACTTATTTCAACTTAGCCCAATTAAACTTCTACATAATTCATAGCAGCTCTCACATTCCTGATATTTTTTATGGATGAATGCACACTAAAAAAAAACTTAATTACAAATGTCATAAAAATGTGCATAATTAATATTTAAACAATTCTCAAATTCTACCATACATTCTTGTTTATATAATAAAATTTTATATGATAAAATCGATAACTGATAAAAATTAGTTTTCTCACATGGCAATAAATCATGTAACATAACCTAAAAAGTGAAGGCAGGCCCTCCACTGACAGCTATTTGTTTTTATCTTAAATTTGCTTTTAATGTAATAAAATATATAAAATGATTCGTTCTAAAAGATGCATCCAAAGCAGAGGTATGTTTTTAACTTACTCATAAAATTCTGAAGCTTATAATATATATTCCTACATTAGCTTTGTTTCAATTAACCGCCGGTGTACGTATGCATTCTTCAAAACCGAGCCCTGATTCCAAACCAGTGAGCCCCAGAATTGAGGAATTTAGAAAAAAATTAAGAGAAAAGACTCCTATTGGAAAACTTGATGAACTTGATAAACATCCTTACCAGGAAAAAGAGCCACTACCCCCATGGCCTGATAATACAAATCCACACACAGGTAATTTTCATAATTTTAATATTCTTTCTTGTTAGTTATGTATATTGAAGAATTATTTAAAAACAGGTGAAATTGGTGGACCTCGCGGCCCAGAGCCTACACGTTATGGGGATTGGGAAAGAAAAGGAAAAGTTTCTGATTTTTAGATCAAATACTTGAAATATATCTTGCAAATTATTTATTACCATAGTATTATTATATATTATTGTTATTTGAATATTTCAATAATCAGGCAATTCTTGATCACCCATTTTTTCTCTTATCATTTTGATGCTGAGGTCCCATAGTTCTTTGGCTAGAGTATCACTTTGGCCTAATTTTGAAGTTTCACAATAATAGCAATTGTTAAGATAAATTCCTGAAACACCTTCAAGCTCTAATGCGGTTGCTGCATATACTGTCGTGCTTGCTGCTTGTTGCTGTAATTTGTTTATATAACATATAGAGAATTTCATATATATACTAATGTTATCATGATGATGATACTTCATATTTTATATACTATAATTTAATTTATAGTTTAATTTCATATTTGACTTTTACTGTTATTTTTCTCTGATAAGAAATTAATTACTCTAATAGACCAAAATTCATACCAAAGATTTTGTGAAGGGGCGAACAAGAGCAAATAGAATTCTCATTAGCCACCAATTTCTCTGTATATTTGTTGATACCATATTTCCTGGATGAACTGAAAACACTGATATACCATGATTTGCCCACCATCTTTTTGATAGCTCTCTCACAAATAAAACATTGCACAGTTTTGCATTATTATAAGCCATCATTGACCAATACTTTTGCATGGGCACTGACAATAAATCTGGAGTAAGATTATCTTTGGGAAAATTTGCAAATCTGAAATAGATTGTGATGTTCTTAACTATTTCTGCCATATTCTCTTTTCGATACTCTTTAGTAATTTAGTACAATTAACCTATGTGATTCGGATGACAAAGACACTACTCGACTGCCTTTTTTTAATAGTGGTGCCCATAAAAGTGTTAAATACATGTGTGACAAGTGGGAAACTTGGAATGTTGTTTCAAAACCATCTACTGTAGTTGAATAAGGTAAGCCAAAAACACCAGCATTCAATATAAGCATGTCAACTTTTCTAAAATGGAGTTTTACAAATATTTATTATATAATTTGGAAGCTAATCATTTGAATTTTTTTATGTAAATATTTACTTTAACTCATCCAAACATTGTAAAGCAAATGCTTTCACATTTTCCAAGCTTGATAGATCAAGTTCCATTACACGACACCTATTCGCAGCATCAGGTTTTTCTTTCCTAATCTTTTCAATAGCCTCTAATCCTGAATTTAGATTTCGGCAAGCCATAATCACATTACAACCATGTTTTGCTTGAGTTAAGGCAGTTTCATAGCCAATTCCACAATTGGCTCCTGTTATAATTGCAATTTTATTTGACAGATCTCGACCATGTAATACCTGAAATAGTTTAAGAGATCTTGAAATACTATTATAATCATTTTAGAATTATAAAAGAAATTTGGCTTTGTGTTTACTTGTAAAGCAGTTGTTGAGGCATCAAATCTTTGTCTGATATCATGAGGGTGTGTTTTTTCTTCTACTGCAAATGCTAACCTTGGATCAGTATATGTTGTGCGATTATTTTCTTTATCAAAATATGAAACTTTTCCTTCGGAATCAACTTGTTTTATCCAACCAAAGGGCAATTCACCTGAGACTACTTTCTTTTTGCCTGTTCTAGGGTGAGTCCACTGGGTTCCTTTAGTGATATGGCTATTAAATTAATTAAAAAATTATTAATATTTTTTTCTTGTTAAATTAAAATCTGGTTGGTATTTACTTCACATAAAAAACGCTGCCATCAGCAGTGGCTCTTTCCTCCCATGCTGGTGGTAATTCATCTTCGCTGTCAGAGTCAGGCAAAATAATAGGCATTTTGTCAAACTATTGTATGAATTATATTTAATTATGCTCAATAAATAGTTACATATCTAAATCTGACATATCAATATCCACAAAATTATGGTATCAATAAATGCTTTATATCTAATCAGTGAATTCAAATTGATAAATATGTGCCAGTATTTCGAATACTTTGTACAATACTGCGAACGTGACTAGAGATAATTCTGTATTATTATGCAACTTTTTATTGTTTGTTTAAAATTAAAGTTTAAGGACGATTTGATCTGTCGATTTGTCAACTGTCACTTTGACGTTTGTTTGTTTTGACGTTCACCGATCAGTGATACCAATATTAATTCAAAAATTGTTTTGGCTAGGGAGGGAAAGGATGCCGAATTTTAATTTCGATATGTAAATTTAAAAAAAATAATGTTTCATGGAATATTTGATGTGAATACAGTTTTATTTAGTTTATTTTAACAATATAGTTTCGTTTAATTGTGTAGTTCTTTTGCATGTTTCCATTTTTTGCAATTTGTTAATAACTTTTGTTAATGAAGTAAAACTGTTTTTACTCCAGTCAGTTATATTGGGTAAAATTCAAATTTAATTATTTAAGAAAATTACTAATTTAATAAACTTATGTTAGTTATTAGTGAATATATTCTTCATCGTTATGATTACAATTGACATTTATCAGAAAAATATTTTTTGTTGGCAATTTGTGTTTGTTTTTTCAATATGGCAGTTTGATAGTTTAAATACAAAACAAACAAACGTCAGACTGACAGTTGACAATTCGACAGATCAAATTGTTCTTATTAAAGTAATTGTTTTTTGAATAATAAAAATAAAACCTTAAAAACAATTGAAATAATTTAAAAACGTTTAGTTATTCCATTCTAATAGTTTAGACACAATTGGTGCGGTTGTTTGTTGTCGTATAAAGAAATAATTTTTATTTGTAACGTTCACAAAACTCATTGATAAGTGCAATAAGTAGAAAAATTATAAGAAAATCGATGTTCTGAGAAATATTAGTAGAGGTAATTTTAAACAGAAATTGAATTAAATTGTAAGTCAATTTTTAAAATGTAATAATAGTTTATCAAATTAAACATAATTCAATCGAATTCTATGCAATTTTTACAGATATTATAATATTATACTGATATTAACTACGTTCAAAAATAATCATTAAATGGAATTAATTCATCTATACAAATAATCTTCAAGAGGCAAAAATAATGGAAAAATACATCTTATACGCCGACGATATTGTAATAGAACAAAATACTAGATGAAATGATTAACAAGGACATGAAATTATATTTGGAATGGCTAATTGAAAATAAATTAACGATTAACATTGGAAGAACTAAGTACATACATTTTAAACGAAAAAAGTAAAAAAATTACTAAAATAAACATTAAAATAAATAATACAGAGATAGAAGAAGTGAAATACATGAAATACTTGGACCTTATAATACATGAAAAGCTAACATGGATAGAACATATAAATGAAAATAAAAAGAAAGAGCGGCACTAAATAAGGTGCTATTTTTTAAAGCGCATATAATACCCATAATTTTTTATGGAATAACAACTTGGAGTCGAATAACAACTAAAGCTAACTTAAATGATAAAGAATAGTAAACAAAGCCATAAAAATATCATATAACTTTCTACATTTAACACCCGCCAAATTCACTAAACAACATAATTAAAATAGAGAAATACAAATTAATACATAAAATGAAATATAACAGAATTAAAACAAGTACAACAATAGGCATAAATCGAGATATACTCGTACACGAACACTACAATAGTCACAAAAATTTTCATATTGAACATAAAAGAAAGAAGAAATTGAGAGAAAATGTGATATGTAAGTAAAATATATAATAAACTGCCAATCGGTATTAAGAATACAAGTGATGACAATAATTTCAAAAGGAAAATAAAAAAATATTATAAAGAAATTGAAGATTGAATAGATATTTAAAGACATTTTAATTATAATAAATATTATATTATTGTATAATAAAATGGACAAATGATATGTATAAATAAAATATGAAAATTGTTTCATAATCTCTCATACCAGACACCCATGCCTGACTGAGATATGAAAATAATGTATAAATAAATAAAACAAAAGTAAAAAAAAATTACAAGAAAATCGACTTTTTGAGAAATATTAGTTTGAGAAAATTTTAAAAAGAAATTGAATTAAATTGTAAGTCAATTTTTAAGATGTAATAATGGTTTATCAAATTAAACATAATTCAATCGAATTCTGTGTATTTTTTACAGATTTTATAATAATATACTGATATTAACTACGTTCAAAAATAATCATTAATTGGAAATAATTCTTAATCATTGTTATCAATTTTATCTGTTCTTAGTATTATCGAACTTCTATTTAAAGCATTATGATCATCACATCTGATCATAAGAAGTGCGCATGAATGCTTGCATTCATGTTTTGCGATATGACAGACGAACGGCGGTTGTACATGCGGAAACATTGAAACCGTTCACCGCCTGGTTTCAATATGTAAAAATATTGAATCGAATTTAAATTTAATCAGATGAACAATATTGAACTTAAATTCAAAAGTTTTTTCTTCTATTCCTGAATTCCAGTGCATAAATCGCATTTTCAGTCAATAAATTATTTGTTCATTTGTTTGTTATTTTTTATTTGTGTTAAGAGTGAAACAAACTAGTCAGTTTGAATCTGTTATAATTAAGACTATGTAAAGTGAGTTTCTATTAAACAGTATTCAAAATTTTTTGTTTGAAAATGTGAAGTTTTTTGGAGTTTGGCTGAAGAAATTTTTGATAATTATGTAAGTCATTACAATTTCATTTTAATTAATTTATTATTGATGTGGAAAATAATTTAAAATACTATTTACATTGTATCTTCACAGTTAATTTTATATAAATATGATATATTTATATAAAGTTAATTCTTATAATATATTTATATATAAATATTTATATTTTTTTTCATAAAGTTTCACATTGCAATGTGATATATCACTTTCATAAAGTTCATAAATTAATTTCTAAATTGAGATTTACAGAACCTTTGGAAGATATTCAACAATTATTTTTAATATAACATGGTATATTAAAAATAATTGTGGAATATCTTTCAAAGGTTCTGTAAATCTCAATTTAGAAATTAATTTATGAACTTTATGAAAGTGATATATTTGCTTGATTCTTCATATAAATGCACCACCTAAATTAATGTGTAACTACAAAAAGACCTATTACTGGAAAAACTTTAGGAACTTCTTATATGCATTTTATCTTCACAATTTGCTATTGTTTGTTCTGGAAACACTTATTGTAATTTAGTGAAAAAAATTAAAATATATTTGTTTGATAAAAAATATTAATAATCAAAAAGTAAATCTTTGTATCGTACACACTTTACTTCGACAAATCAAAAGTGTGGCAAATTTCATTTCACTTCACTAGTTGATCTTTATTTTATAATTTTGCTGGGTATATTATCTAATCTATAAATTCTAAACAATCTTAATTTTTTTTTTGGATATGTTTTTATTTTGCCAATTTTATATATTTCTTACCTGATAACATTTTTATCAACAGACTTTTGATATCGTAATCAGATTATCATAAGTTCAGTGAGATTATATACAATGATTGCTATCATTTATCGACAGTTCATGCAATTCCTAAATTAAAATGATTTCAAGCGCAAATTTGCAATATTTTCTTGAACCAATCGCACCAATATATATAGGAACAGTTCTAAAACTATAATTAACTAAAACTGATAGTCGAAAACAGAAATATTTAAAATATAAAATACATCAATTATTAACAGAATACTACGAGTGATGTTTTGTATTCGCATTTTGTATTAAATCTCTGATATTCTGTATTACAAAATATATTTAGCCAAGGAGGCGTACAATGGTTTCTGAAACATTATTTTATTAAACTAAACCAAATGATATAAAGAAATAAACTAGTGGTGTGCATGGCATCGTGCCTTAAGGCAAATTGCTGGAACTTCCCGTACCGTAAATAAAAATCTTGGCACGGAACACAAAAAAATTTACACAAAATGTGTACACATTATAAAAATCTCTATAAAACATTTGATAATTTGATGTACATATGTTCTATAAACATTTTTGACCACAAAATGACATTTTTTAACTTTTTTTTATTGGGAGTTCATAATCGCTGGACCTGCCTACCCAAAAATTTAATCAACTAAAATTTTTATTGAATTATTAAAATCGGATGCTCCGTTCTCTTAAAAGCTGAGCTACCATTTTTGGCACTTTTTGCACCGTATCTTCGGAACCGCTAGACCTGCCTTTGCCAAAAACTAATCAGCACATCTCCTTATCAATACAAATCGAATGATTTTAGAATTATTCAAATCGAATGATCGGTGTTCCCAAAATCGTCGACGAAAATTTGTATCCGCATACACACACACATACATTCGTTTTTTCTAAGTATGCTAAAGTGTTCAGAAACTCCTGAAACGTAAAGATATATATAAATTTTAATTTTCGATTTTTTTGCAATTACTATACCTTGTTAAAATTTAAAGATATATTTTATACATATTTTATATAATATTACATAATAATTTTTAGTCTGATAAATAAACTAGAATATCAATTGAAATGGAATAATGGGACGTAACAGTATTTAATAAAAGGTACGGAAAGGTTGGAATACACTGGGCGAATCATTAGATTTACTTCTTTGAGTCATTGTATAACAAATGTTAACAAACTATTTATTTTAATGTCTTTTTGAAGATAGATTCTAAATTATATCAAAGTAGGAAAAACAAATTATAAATTTTCTATTATAAATTTTATAATACTTGTTTAATCGATACAAAAAATGTAATATCTATTGAGGTAATAAGTAAAAAAATAATAACGCCTCTGTTGAGCATTTTAAGAAATTTTTATTGAAGTTATATTTAGCTTTGTTTTCACCATTTCATATATTGCGATACAATCACTATTTCAAGATTAATTTTGAGGTTTGGCGTTATATGTCTGGTCTTTATTGTGGTCTATTGTTATTTGTGATATTTTTGTTACCAGCTGTGATTGATATAGAAAACATAGATAAAAGAAGTACTATCTAGTTCACTTTTTATATTATTTTACTTTTCAAAATTTACTATAAAAATCAATT